GACCTCAGTTCCACCTTTCACCTCCAAACCTACCTGTAGGTCATGGCCTCAATGAGGAAGGGCTGGTTCTCGGCAACGGCCCGGCGCCGGGCCTCCTTGGTGGCGTTGTACACGGCGAAGACGTCGTTGCCGTCCACTCGGATAGACTGGATGCCGTAACCGGGACCACGGGCGGCTGAGGGGTGCAAGAAGACCCGTCACTACGCTTGGACTGTCTTTCCAGACCCTCTTCCGCTCGTTTTTTCAAAATTTAAATTTTTAAAGTGAATTTAAATTCAGTTTAGCATCTAGATTCAAGAAGGCTTCCGGATTCGGAATTCAGCCAGTTTGGCAGAATGGCTTCTAAAACAAGAACACACAGGTCATCCTTGACTTACAACGGTTTGTTTAGTGACCATTCAAAGCTACAGCGGCATTGAAAAAGGGACTGAATTTCCGTTGCTCAGCAAGGTAATTATTAGCTGAGCCTCTGCCTAATTTTATGACCATTTGTGCCACGGTTGCTGAGCAAATTCACTTAACAACGGCAGTGACTTATGCAGTCATTAAACAAATTTCCCGTTGACTTTGCTGGTCAGAAGCCGACTGGGAAAGTCACAAATGGCGACCACACGATCCCCAGATACCGCAACTGTCGTAAATACAGGCCGGTTTGCCCAGCACCTAAATTTAGATCAAATGACAGTGGGTAAATTTGCGATGGTCATATGTGTGAGGGCTAGTGCCGTAACTTCAAACGGTTGCTAAACGAATGGTTGTAAGTCAAGGACCAGCTGTATGTACAGGTAGTCTTCGACTTACAACCACAATTGAGCCCAGCATTTCTGTTATTAAGTGAGACAGTTTTAAAGTGAGTTTTGCCCCATTTTTCTTGCCACAGTTTTTAAGTGAATCACTGCAGTTGATAAGTTAGTAACCCGGTCATTAAGCGAATCCGGCTTGCCCCATTGACTTTGCTTGCTGGAAGGTCGCAAAAGGGGGTCACGTGACCCAGGGACGCTGCGGCCGTCATAAATACGAGTCGGTTGCCAAGTGTCTGAATTTTGACGTGATTATGGGGAAGCTGCAAAAGTCGTAAGTGTGGAAAATGGTCATAAGTCGCATTTTTCAGTGCCTTTGAACAGTCACTAAATGAACTGTTGTAAGTCTAGGACAGGAGTAGGCAACCTTGGCCCCTTCATGACTGGTGGACTTCAACTCCCAGAATTCCTGAGCCAGCATGGGGGAACTATGGCCCCCTTCATGACTGGTGGACTTCAACTCCCAGAATTCCTGAGCCAGCACGGCTCAGCTTGGAAACCTCTCCCTTTCCCCTCAGCATGGGTGGCTCAGGAATTCTGGGAGTTGAAGTCCACGAGTCATAAAAGAGCCAAGGTTGCCTACCCCCTGATTACCTGTGTACACACAAACCTCACAAAGAAGTCCCTCCCTCCCCAACCGGGCGGTCTCACCGATGCCGTCGCCCCGGTATTGTTCGGACGTCGGAGTGGAGATGGCGTAGCCGTTGTTCCGGCAGAAAAATATGACCGGACACTCCAGGGTGGCGGCGAAGTTGAAGCCCGCGTGGGCATCCCCTTCGCTGGAGGTCCCTTCGCCGAAGTAGCAGATGACAACCCGGTTGGTGTTCGCCTGCTTGAAGGCGTAGGCGGCCCCCACCGCTGGCAAGGGAAGAAAGAAGAGGGGGGTCGGGCGGTTAGATCCTTGGGGGGGGCAAGGGTGCCCCGAAATATAAGCGAGCGTGCCTTGGCTGGCATTGCTCCGTGGGTGGGGGTCTGCGGGGGTCTCGAGAGGGAAAAACCTGAGGTGGCCTCACCTTGTGGGATCTGGGTGGCAAGCGGGGACGATATGGTGACGAAGTTCAAATCTTTGCAGCCGTAATGCACGGGCATCTGGCGGCCTTTGCCGGGGTCGCTGGCGTTGCCGTAGCACTGGGCCATAAACATGTCCAGAGGGTAGCCCCTGTGCATGAGGACACCTGGGAGGGGGGGGAAGAAGGGAGGGAGGGAGAGCAGGTGAGAGGCTTTGGCCGGCTTCGGCCACGAGGCTGGCCTCCACCCTGCACCCCACTTGTTTGTGTGTAGGGGTGAGGGGGGGATGAAGGTAATAAAAGATATATTGAATATGAGAGAAAATCCCCAAATAATAGCAATAAGCTGGGGTTTATTTGTTCTTCCCTCCCCCTTCCTTCCTTTCTCCCTCCCTGTCTGTTCTTTTTTTCCTTCCTTCCTTCCTTCCTTCCTCCATCCCTCCGTCCCTGTTCTTGTTCTCCTTCCTTTCTTTTCTTCCTCCTTTCTCTCTCCCTTCCTTTGTTTCCTTTCTTCCTGTCTCCTTCCTTCTTTCCCTCCTCCCTCCCTCAAACTTCCTTATCTCCCATCCTTCTCTCTCTTTTTCTTCCTTCCTTCCTTCCTTCCTTCCTTCCTTCCTTCCTTCCTTCCTTTCTTTTTCTTTCTTTCCTTTCTTTCTTTCTTCCTCCCTCCCTCTCTCCTTCCTTTCTTTCTCTTTCTCCTTCCTTTCTTCCTTCCTTTCCTTTCCTTTCTTTCTCTCTCTTCTTCCTCCCTTCCTCCCTTCCTGTCTGTCTGTCTGTCTCTTCCTTCCTTCCTTCCTTCCTTCCTTCCTTCCTTCCTTCCTTCCTTCCTTCCTTTCTTTCTTTCTTTCTCCCCCCTCCCAGTTCCTATTGACTCTGAACACCATAGAGACACCACATTTACTGCAATTTCTCTTATTAGAAACTAAAAAAAACCCCTCTACAGCCTGTCCAGAGCAACTGCCTGGCTAATCTCTTTCCCCTTTCAATTGCCTGTAATCAGCAATCTTGTGTTGTTGGTGCTTCCGTAAAGAGGGTGCATTTCTCCCTCCTAAACGAAGCTGCTGCATTCCAGAAAAACATGTCTGGGTTCAAAAGGTGCCAAAAGGAGTCCATGCCACCGTGCTTGGTCTATGTGTTACTGGTACCTCCTTCCTTCAAAACAAGCAAGGCTGGTCAAGGACAGAGATGAGGTCCTTAGGCACTGATTAACTCAAACAAGCCTGGTTGCGGGCTCATAAAGCCTATTTATTATGCAAACGGGGGAAAACGCGGCTGCTTTAAAGAGACGCCAACTGGTACAACGTACACTCTCAAACCTGCTCCCCAAACACCTTGTAGGCTTCAAATCCAAGCGCTGCATATCTCTAGGCTCAAAATACAAGACAAGTAAAAGTAAGGTCTGGTTTGGACAGTTGGGTCTAGTGGTTAAAGCAATAGGCTAGAAAAATGAGACGTGAGTCCTACTCCCACTTTAGGCATAAAAACTGCTTGGGCGACCCTGGGCCAAACCCCAGGAGACAAGTGAGTTCTAGTCCCGCCTTAGCCATGAAAGCAAGCTGGGTGACTTTGAGCCCGTCACACTAACTCAGCCCAACCCCACCTCACAGGGCTGTCGTTGTGGGGAAAATAGGAGGAGGAAGGTGTGTTGGATACGTTTGCTGCCTTGGAATTATTTGTAAATATAATAAAGACAGGATACAAACAAACAAAGTGGAACAAGCAAAAGGTGGAAATATTGTCCTACAACAGGTCTCAGGTGAAAGCCATGCCAAGGTTCTAGTCCTCTGCTGTGAAATGCTGCCCCCTGGTGGCTGTTTTGCGACTATGGCTGAAGAAGGGGGAAAAAAAGTGCTTTGCGAAGGGTCACCTGCTTCTCGGTATTGTCCGAAGACCAGGTCAGTGTCGTCCAGGGCTGCTACGCTGCCCACGTGGGTGCCTTCTTCCCCGTAGTTGGTCATATAAAAGGAAATCCGCCCCTGGCAATAAAAAGGAGGGTGGGGCTGTGAATCCTGGCCAGAGCTTCAGATCTGAAGACTAAAAGATGCTTTGAAGTCCAAAGGGATACATGAGGAGCACGTGTTTGATTGGCGGTTGCTTGAAAGCAGCTGCTTCCTATTCTATTCTATTAATTCTATTCTATTCTATTCTACTTCATTCCATTATTCTATTCTATTCTATTCTATTCTATTCTATTCTATTCTATTCTATTCTATTCTATTCTATTCCATATTTTCTATTCTATTCTATTCTATTCTATTCTATTCTAATTCTATTCTATTCTAATTCTATTGTATTCTTCTACTTCATTCCATTATTCTATTCTATTCTATTCTATTCCATTCCATTCCATTCCATTCCATTCTAATTCTATTCTAATTCTATTCTATTCTTCTACTTCATTCTATTATTCTATTCTATTCTATTCTATTCTATTCTATTCTATTCTATTCTATTCTATTCTATTCTATTCTATTCCATATTTTCTATTCTATTCTATTCTATTCTATTCTAATTCTATTCTATTCTAATTCTATTGTATTCTTCTACTTCATTCCATTATTCTATTCTATTCTATTCTATTCTATTCTATTCCATTCCATTCCATTCCATTCCATTCTAATTCTATTCTAATTCTATTCTATTCTTCTACTTCATTCTATTATTCTATTCTATTCT